AAGGGATTTTATGGAGTAATTGCAAGATCAAATGGTTGGATGGTTCACCTTGAGCAAGATTGGAGCTAAAACTTGAAGAGTTTCTTGCTTCCTTTTGGAGAGAGAGGGCCGGCCATATGAGGAGAAGAAATGGTGATTTTTGAACAATTTTTTTCAAGATATTTACTCAATTTGGTCAAAAGTCAAAAGTGTGAATAGTTGCCAACAAAGTCCAACCAATGGTTGTGTGACACTTGTCACTCCATTAATGCAATCTTATCACTTCTTTTTCTCTCTCACATCAATCATAATAGCTTCCTCTAATTATCTCTTAACACCCGATAAAATAATTCCAGTATCCAAAACTTAATCTAGTTAGCCGAAATCTTCCGAACTTTTCACACTAGTGGGTCCCACGTCCGGTATACGCTCTTAATTTCTCAAAATCTCTTCGATACTAGAAAAATCATCTAAAAGCTATATTTACTCATAAAAATAATCTAGAAATTTTTCCGGATACAGAAAGTGTAGAAAACAAATCATTGAAAATAAGAAAACCTAGAAATATAATAAAACCTAGAAATTGGAAAAAATTACGGGTTCTCACAATTTACTTTAGAAAATAACTATTTAATAAAAACCAGTTGAACCTCCCTATTTTTACCGGTTTTTACCGGTTCAATCGGGTCTTGACCGGTTTAATTAATTCTTTGACTTTGTGATTGAACCGGATCAGAGGCATGGCTAGTTCGCGGTTCGACCGGTCGAACGGCCGGTCTGGTCCGATTTGCAAAACATTGGTTAACATCATAACAAAATAAAAATTTTGAAAAAAAAAGGTGAGGGAAGAGAGAAGGTTTGGGGGAAGACAATTCTAAATGGGTTAATTGGATTTGATGGATTACCAAATAATACCCATTTGGATATTATTGGACAAACCATTTATACCCATATGTAAAAATTTAAGATATCCATACCCATCTATTCATGGGCGAGTATAGGTAAATTTAGTTAAATGGATTTATTTGACAGCTATACTTTTAAGTATTTATTGGCCAATTTCATTTTTAGTTTCTCTAAAAGAATTGTCCTTCAGACACCAAAAGTAAGGTAGATCGTAAATATTACTTTCCTTTTAATTTAAAATTGAGGTGAGAATATCTGTGACGACCCCACCTCCTTATTGGGTGTACCTTAAAAGTTAGTAGATCGTCTGTCTGACTCTCGTCAGGACTCATTAATTTCACGTTAACTTTAGAAATAACATTTGATAAACTCTCATTAATCTTACACTAACTTCAGAGATAACATTGTGGTATACTAAAACCACACATTCAAATCTTTTACAATGCCAAGTTTAATACAAAACTTCAGCCGTGATATGATACTAGATTATTTACAATTTCAAAAGACTTCATGTTAACTCGCTAAGCTCCCTCGTTTGTTTCTCGACCACCAACTCCTATAAGGAAAATAAACTACAAGGCTGAGCTAAAGCTCAGTGAGGTTTGCCGAACAAGTAACGTTCAATAAACACTTAAACCAGTAAAAGTAAGCAAGTAATACAATTAAACAACTAAGGAACACTTCACTGAATGAATTAGAGAGCACGTCACTGAGCAATCACTTTTAAAAGGATATGGTACTCGCATTAGAGCCACTTTCAAAAGGATACAAACTCCTCTTGGGAGTCATTTCAATATCATTGCACACTCATTTCAATATCACTGTACATTCATTTCAATATCATTGCACACTCCGCCAATTCCCCTCCTTTTGTCCTCCAAAATAATAAACAATCCCCTACATTCAATAATTAGTTCAATAATCTCCCAACTTCAGGGTAATACTCGAGTATACTGAAACATTTACCCAAAGCTTCCGTCCTATCCGACCAAGCCCTTTGTTGGCTCGAATAGTTCGTTGAACAAAGGGTTTTGGGGCCCAATTCAGCCGATGCGGTAAAGTACACATACGACTTACATTCATGCACACTTACAGTAACATTTGATCAATTATCAACCTTCAAACTCAACTAAACTGAGTGTGTAAAGTACACCCCCGACTTAGAAGGCGAGGGACAATTGAGATACACTTTACAATGAATCACTAGCAATATTCCATAATAAGCACATTTATCACATAATTTTACTTAAGTAAACACAATCAGTTAAATTTATCTCAGTTAAGCACATAAATATCTCAGTTAAGCACACTAATTGCTTTCTGGCTTCATTTTAGAATTACAAATTCGGCTTTCTGGCTTACAGCCTCGGGTTTGCCTCGGGTTCACTACACCAGCCCCCTCAAGTTCTAAAGTCTTTAAAATGCTTATGAAGACAAGATTAAGTGGTTAGAAGCCCTTTAATGTATATAGCTACAGCTAGTTACCTTAGAGTTTCCAAAAACATCATAGAAGGCTTAACTAATTACTATTTCAGCCAACAAACCAAAATTCCAGCAATATTACTTCAGATTTTCAACAAAACTTCATTCTTTTACTTGCTTACATCTTTAAGTACTTTAATGTACTTTCGGTCCAGCATAAGCCAAGGCAAGTCACACCTAGTTCCAGTAACTCATTCAATCAAACGTTATTCACAAAGTCTGTCAGCATTATTTGCATTAGTCGTTAGTTTTTCTAACAATGTAGCAGCTTAATTTGCAGCTTTTACTCCCTAATTGCTTCGGTTTAACCCTAACTTATGGTGCCAAACATGATTACTAATCACAGAGCAGCCTTAGTTATCATCTGTGGAAGTTTACAGGGTTAGAAATTGAAAGAAAATCTGATCAAAGTTGATTTCCTCCCTCTCAGTTTCACAGCAGGTTGCATCAGCTTTCCTTTTTGCCAAATTTAGCTAGACTTTTCCTAAGTTTACTAGTTTCAGGGTACCTTTCAATCGTGACAAGAGATCATACATATTTCATGTGTTTGCTAGTAAGTGTTTCCAGTTGTTCAAGTAACAAGCTGCACATTGTGCTTCATTTCCTTGGCCAACTTACTTGCAATAACTTACATTCATCTTCCTTCATTATACATTCTAATTTACACTTGTTTCTGTCTTACCGAATGGAGTTATGAAACTTTCTGACATGTTACAACTCTATAAACTCGTTTAGGGGCCAAAGTTTGCAGAGGATAGCCAGAGTTTCCAGCTTTTCCCCCTCGGTTGCAGTCAATAATTTCTAGCAAAGCAGGGGTTTATCACTGGATATTTCCTCATCTTTTCCTCTTCAGTTTTAGGTCTCAATCACTCAAGCAGAGGTTATTTGGCCAGCTACAGATTATCCTAAGCTAAACATAGGAGTTTATGACCAGATTCCAAGAGAAAACTAAATCAAATCCCATGTCTGCACCAGGCTGCAAAATCTAATGCATAGCAGCCTGCATCAGATTTCTTTCATGCTCATAGTTCCCATTTTCACAAGTTCCTGTAGTTAAATTTCACCTTATACCAGAAACAAGCATTTTCATACATTTACTACAACATTCTTCCATTTTCCTTTGACAACAACCTGCAATTTCAGTGGGTCATCACTGAGTTCACATAGGTTCAGTCAATAAACCTTTAAGTTTCAAATCAAAATTTCTTTCTTCAGTCGAAGCTCAGTTTCTGCAATTTCACAGTTTCTGCACAACACTTTCTTGAACCAGAAGCTAAATTTCTAGCTAAGCTCAACTTATATCTCTCATGTTTAACCAATTATACTATCTAAACAGTGAGTTGTTATGGAGAGTGTTACCTTTTCCCCCTTAAGGTTCGTTGTTGCAGGCTGCTTAAGTTTCTGTCTCGGTTCCTCAGTCCTAATTCCAGCTTCTCCTGCCTTCCTTGCTGTATCTTCCTTATCTTTGGTTGTTTGGTGATAAAGCTAGCTATGCTCTTGCTTTCACTTTCTCACTCTCTCTGTTTTTCTCTCGATGTTAGCTTGATAAAGAGAGGGACTGTAGTTTTGTTTTGCTCTCAGCCACGGCCCAGGTATCCCTAACAAATGGTTTCTCTTAGCTGCACTCTTTCAGTCACTGCTTACATAGCAAGGTTGGTAGTTTTTCTCCCTGACAGCTGTCTTAATAGGTGTTATTCACCGCCCCAATCTCAGCCAATTTCTACCCTTCCACCGCTTAGACTAGCAAATGGTTGTCTGGCTTCTATTCGGTTCCAATTTCTCAAGTATATTCCTCTCTCGGTTTTGTTTTATGAAATTCTAATAGCTTGTTCCTTGGCTGCATGGTAGTTAGTCTGAAATTCAAGGTTGGTTCAGTCCTTTAGTTGTAGCTTATTTGCTCACTAAGGGTTGAAATTTTATGATTTCATGTATGGACTCCTAACTTCACTTGTTCCAATTTATATATTCCTATAAAAATTTTCACCATTCTAGGATATTTCTAAATCCTCAATTTTATAAAATTTCAATTTAGACATTTAATTTGACCAATTATTTGTTATATATAATATTTCTAAGAACAAAGTAAATAAAATGAAATAAATTCAGACACATAATTTTTTCGAGTTCTCACAATATCACTGGACCAAAATAGTCCTGAATTTATAAAACCGTCTTTCTTTTCTTGTCTCTTTTATTTTTCGTTTACTTTTCTTGTTCTGTCATTTCGTCATTTCCACCCTTCTCTTATTCTCATATTGAGCATTACTGACCAAAACTAGCACAAAAGTGAGACAGGCAGGGGATAAACCGTATATACTAAGCCTCATACGTGAGACTGGTGTTCAACTGTCCCAGTTCTTCAAGTCTTAACCATTTACTGCCAAATGCTTCAATGATTGAACCATAAATATCAATGCTCTTCTGCTTCCGTCCCAAAGCTGTAGGAACAGAAACATTTTCAGAACCTTTACTCCTATCTGGAACTGTAGAATACAATTCAAGCTCCGCCTTGCTGTTTCACAGAGGAAAGGCGTCCTAGACTCAAAGGTAACAAAGGAGAATCTGGAAGTTTAATTAATACATGCGAATGTTTTTCATCATACCTAGCTTATAACATAAGAACAATAGTAGGCTGAATAAGCATTAGAATAGCTGCCAAACGCTCAAACCAGATCAATTTGACCTGTCTCCACAAGAGGCTTTATTGACTTGTAAGGTAAAGCATACAGATCGTCAGCTTCAATGTTCACAGGCTCTTCCGCGCTGTCATGTTGGCAGATTTAGTACAAATCAGTGAACAGAAAAATAAACATCAGGCATCATAAATAATTACACGTTCAAGAGAAAAACAAATTGCCTGTCATCAAGCTGGAAGGCTCCTAAAAATCTCTTGCTTCTGCAGATGACGTAAGTGTCGAGCCGTGGCTCAGGAACTACAAGACATCACAAAAGAATATACAATAACTAGTCCCAATGGTTGAACCAACACATATATTGCCAAAGGGAAAAATGCACTTTTCATCCTCAAAGTTTAGATTGTTGACCAATTTCACCTCAAAGTTTCACCCAAAACACATTTCATCCTCAAAGTTCTGTAATTTTGACCAATTAAAGACAATTGACGGGAAATGAAGGATAATTATTTAATTTGGACGGAACTTTGCACGTGAGAAGCACGCTCCATCAAATCCAACTTTACACCCAACAAAAAACGGGTCAAACCGAACGAAAATTTGGAAAATAGCAAAAGGGAAAAGCTCCATTCTTCTCCATTCTTTTAGGAACTTTGGGAAGAAAACCTTAGTGCGGCTGTCAGTCTTCAAGTTCTGGAAATAGCTGAGAAATTTTCAAGAACTGCTGCATCCCACAGCATCGCAACTGATTATGGGAAACTTGACTGCCTGAATTCTATATTTACGAATGCCTTCTCTCGTAATCAACCCCTGGCATTCTGGAAAGCTCTGTTCCCTGTGTTCAACAGTGTCTTTGAACTCCATGGAGCAACACTAATGGCAAGGGAAAATGATCGATTCTTGAAGCAAGTTGTTTTTCATCTTCTTCGTCTTGCAGTTTTTCGAAATGACAGTATCACGAAAAGAGCTGTTACTGGCCTACAAATACTTGTCCGGGTATAGTTACTGATTTACTTAGGATAGTTATATGGTTCCAGCAGTAAATATGCTTCTTGACATGTTGAGTAAAGTTTAGCTTTTTCATGTTGTAGAGCTCTTTCTCCTACTTCACGCAAACAGCTAGGCTAAGGGTCATGGTAACTATTACTCTTTCTGAATTGATATCTGAAGTTCAAGTGACTCAGATGAAATCTGATGGAACACTTGAAGAAAGTGGTGAAGCGCTCTTAGAATATCATTGAGGGAAATGGCAGATGAATCTAAGAGTCCTAACTTGTTAAATGATTGTGGTCTTCCAGATAATTCACTTGTCTCTGTTCCTCAAAATTTATCAGAGAACCATTGGTCCTGGACTGAGGTCAAATATCATGCTGACAGCCTTCTTTTGGCTTTTGATGCTAGCTTGGAACATGTGCTTCTGGTATATTTGATGTTATGATCAATCCTACCACATATAATATGCATGATGAATTTTTATTAATATATGGTATTAATCAAAAAATCTTCTAGGCATCTATTATGACTGTGGATCGATATGCAGCAGCAGAGGGCTTTTACAAACTTGCATTGGCCTTTGCTCCTGCAGGTTGGGGCTGAAGTCAATCATTTGGTCGATTAGAGAACAGTAAAAACAATACACACTTGACATATGCTACCGTTAAGGGAACAGCCCATGAAGTCCCCTTCACTTCTCCCTCCCAAGCTCTCACACTTTTCAAAGCATTTCTAAGTGGACATCCTCCCCCAAGAACCAGTAATATTTGAGTTGGAAATTGCTGGGTTGAGTGCTGTGCTATACGTTGCTATTCAATATGGAAGCTTTTGCTTCGGATTTTAACTTACCAAGTCAGCTAAATGTGCAGTTCGCTGTGATGATACCACATACAGAGCAATGAACATGAATAATACTACACTGCTCCAATCAGAAGATTGAAGAAAATTGTTGCAACAACAATGTATGCTATCGTCTTCAGGGGATGCTAAGTAACAAATGCATTCGAAACCTAGTAACTTGTATATGATAGCTGTTGAATTCAAACCAATGGCCCCAATTTCTGGCCCCTTATATCCTTACCCTGTTACCTATGCATAATGCATGGTGGAGGCGAGTTGAAGTTGCATATTGTTTCGTAACTAAATTTTACTTCACATAAGGGATCTTTGTAAAAGAAGCCAGGCAAGCTTTCCACAGGGTTAAACTATTTTATGAACTGTTCAGCTCTAAAGGGACTAGTACAATAGTAACTCCAAAAAGAAGAGTACCAGATATAAATATAATACTAGCATATATACACGAAAAGGATTTAACTTCCTGCATGACGCCCCCTAACTTCAGTAAAGATCACCAGGGAAGTAATAGCACGCTAGTTGTTTTGACAACACTACTAAAATTACAGAAGGCGTTCCAGATCTTTATATAATGTGGTTACTGCATTTGTGTGATGCATATCAGGAGATGCAGTCTTGGGCTGAAGCTGCACAAAAAATTTTGGGGTTGCAGAAGGCAGAGGGGAGAAGGTAGAGGGAAGAAGGAGAAGAATGTTGGTTTTTGTCCATTGCAAATTATTGTTCCGTTAAAAAATGGCTCCATTCGGTTTTACCCATTTTTTGTTGGGTTTAAAGTTGGTTCTAATGATAAATTTGCAAATTCCCGTCAATTGTCCTTAATTGGCCAAAATTACGGAACTTTGAGGATGAAATGTGTTTTGGGTGAAACTTTGAGGTGAAATTGGTCAGCAACCCAAACTTTGAGGATGAAAAGTGCATTTTTCCCTATTGCCAAAATTGAAAGTTGTCAAGCTATACTCAGGTTTCAAGGAAGAAGTATGGATGCAGGATGAACTGGAGAATTCATCATGTAACATACAGCAGGATCACCTAAAGCTTCTAGAGAAGCAGTATCCACAATAACATTCTGTTCGAAAGCCTCTACTCCAAGGATAACCATATAAAGATCTTCAGTGCACAAACAACTATACTTAGGTTTCTATCCTCGATTCAGATTTTCCAGTCAACTCCTAACTCCACAAAACCTGTGTTTCTGTTCATAATTCAACAAACTTTCTAATAATGTTGTGTAATTAGTTCCTTAATAGCTCATATTTAAACTTTTGCTTTTAGAAAATTTAGTTGAAACACTATAAAGTTGCTCAAGTACCACAAACAAAATCTTTGGTACAAAAATTACGAGGCTTGAGAACAAGGTGGATTATAAGCTTGAGTGTTATAAAGAACAAAATGCTATAGTTTTTCAATTAAACCACTGAGTAGCAAGTTTTATTGATGATTTTCATAATTCAGCCTAATCCATAATTGGTAAGCTCAGTCTTTCCAGCATAACTCTGAACATTAAAGGGGCTTTAGTATGCTTTCAATGGAGTTGGAAACTACTTTGGACCAGTCAAAGTAGTCACATACCCCAGAAAGCCCCTTAAGATCAGCTCTGTTTCATGCATGTACTTACTCTTGGAAGACGTTTGGACTTCAGGATTTTCCTTTCGTTCCCTGTAGGGATTTTAACTTCAGAACACAACAACACTCAGTCAAAAATAAATGTATGGGTTTTCTTTTACATTAATTTGAGGATAAGCTTTTCTTCCGTGGGAACTTTGGAAACTTCAAAATGATATCTTTTCTTTAATTGTTCTCTTTTTCTTTTATGTTCTCTATTGCATCTAATTCTATCAGGAAGCCTTTTAAATTCTTTTATCACCTAAGAAAAAGCTATGTGAAATTTTAAAAGGAGCTGACAATAAACATAATCATACTGTGCCAATATACTCCAAAACAAAGACACGCTCCCTCACATGCATAACCAAAGAAATCTGTCATACACAAAGCAAGCATACAAGCATAACAGCAAAGAAAAAACAAATACAGCAACTCAAATTGACAGACTCCTAACAGTATAAGAGGTTTACCCATGTCATCCTCTTCACTACTTGAAGATTGCTTTAAATGAGACTTGTAACTGCTAGGCAACTTTGAAAGAACAGATTGATCCAAATGCTTTTCCATGTCTTCTATACACCTGAACTCAGTCAATTACAAGACACCCAAATCAACAATATACCTACAAGATGTATTTCACAATAAGAAGAATCATTCTCCCTTTACCTTTCAGCAAACCTTTTCTCCTGTCTGGAAAGCCGATTCCATAACTCGGCAGTTTTCTGGATGTGAAACACATACTTCTCAATCTGAAAATACAGAAAAATTAATCCACAGGCAGAAGATATTTGAATTAGATGTCTCACAAGATGTGGAAGAATCTATCATTCTGTCAATTTCATTTTCAAGTAGTCAGATCAAATGAGATTCGTAAAGTTCTAGGTACCCTGGAGTTCACATGGTATATGTAGGAAGAGCTCCACATGGTATATGTAGGAAAAGCTCCCTTGGATTACATTTTCTAGATGATTTTTTCGAAAAAAATTAATCTAGCACTTTGTCTGTAGAAGTATATGAGCTAAACATGACAATTGTGAAACTGGTTTAAATAAACTGAAAATCAAAGGACAATTGCATGTATGAATCAATGTAATACAAAGAACAAAATGGGCCTTATTCATGGCTACCTTTTGAAGACGAGTCCGTAGATATGACCTCAAGAGAAAGACGGTCCTGTCCAAGTCCATCTGATAAAGAGACACTGTGAGTGGATCAATGCCATTTCTTGTGAATTCTCCCACTGTCTCTTCCTAAAATATAAAGTAAACCAGCTTGTGAGTTATAGAAATCAGACCCCAAAATTCAACCCTGCGAAACAAACAACTCGAAAACTAGTCCTGCATCACGGCTTCACCATGTTCAACTATGTCACTTCTGTTGTGCTTTTGGTCACAACTAGGGCACATAAAATTTTAGAACAAATAGAACATTTAATGAGAGTACCAGCAGCAACCTTTTAACTATATAGCCTACCGCACTTAAAATTCCATATGAAATAATGCTATGTTAGTTCATCAGATCAGAGTAAATCATGAAGGCAACACCTCATCTGGACAATACAGGCATACTAAAGATCCAAAAAAACAGATAATCGCCAGAAAAGAAAAAGAAGAAAGGAAAGTGCATTGAAAATGATCAGGACTTTCCATTTCACAAACATGTTTGTTTGGATTGTAAGTTATTTGGAATTTTTTACTGTAGCACTTTTTGTAACGTAATGTATGTGAGATAAAAAGGTGTATTGGAAATTGTAATGATGATGTAAGCAAATAAAATTGGGAAAATAATGCTCAATCCAAACAAACCCATAATCTGACTAGATCCATACAGGCTCATCAACAACCTTAAGCCATTCTGACTAGATCTTCCTTTAAAGTACCAGTAGTTCCTTAGGAGAACAGAAAAGTTTCAGATATCGCATATTGAGTAACACAACGAGGGTTTAAAGATTTAGCTGACATGGTATTGAGTAAAACACTGAGGGTTTAAAGTTTCAGTAAGACAATGAATTTGAGCACCTTCAAAAGAAAACTACCACAGATCAAGGTAATGCAAAACAATAATAGACGAACTTTGAGTGGACAAGCTGGAGAACTAAAAACAATAATAAGAGATGAAAACATCATTTCTTTAAAGCATGTTTGGCAACGTTCAATTAATACCTACAAAATCTACAGAATATACCATATATAACAAAATCATACATCTTAATCCAGCATACAAACCAAATGCTGAAGACCAATTAAAGATGGAGGACCTAATACTGGAACAGAAGGGAATAAATTATAATACAATTATCTAACACAACTCCAAAATTGTCAAATACTCTTTATTCTCTAAGAAACTACTTTTCCTGTAAGTAAACAACAGCAGTTTAAGAAAAATATCTACATTCTATCAAAGGAACATTTACAACATCTGGGGATTCATAGAAGGCATAATACATGTGAAGTTTCATACCATCAATTTAATTTGTTCACGTGACCTTTGAATCAGAGCGGCCTCAAATCGAAGAATTTGTGGGGCAGCCTTCTCATTCTGCCAAGCACGTTTCAAGAGTTCTGCATCTGTTGTTGAAATCAATGACTCGTAATCGTCCATTGTCGAGTATCCTGAGGATCCATCTTGTGCACCAGTCTCCATCTGATCCAAACTCTACACACTTCCTTCAATCTTTGACAATGATACCTCTTTTTTCCAAGACAACAACATTTAGCAACTCTTTTTCTTTTCAAATTCTACTACAAACACAAAGTTATAAGACCCAAGTATATCTATCAATTCTTGGCCTTTGGCATCCTCCATGAAATATTCAAGTCCATAGGGTGTTCGCATAACAATAAATTCTAGAGTAAAAGAAAACAGAAAAACATAAAGTATCATCTTGGTTTAGATGAAAAGAAGAAAATTCATCAGGATTAAAAAAGGTTCATCACCTTTGGGGCATTTGATGAAGTGGACCATAGACATAAGCATGAACAGTAGGTATTTGGAAATAAACCAAGCAAGACTAAAACTAAAGACAAATAAAAAGGCTTATCACTGAGACAATTCATCAAACAGCTCATAGGCATATACATCAACGACCCTGATCAGTCCCTCAATCGTGTACTGGCCGGCCCCAAAATTTTATTTAACAAATAATTCAAGCTCTACAGCTCGAACCCACCGACAAATTTCAAATTTATTTGAACTAAAATCGTTCAAATTCACTATAAGAGCACTGTAACATGAAATGATTTCAGCAAAGAAGAAACTCACAGTAAGCTCCGGCTGTGGTGGAGGCCTGGACTTCTCTAGCAGAGATAATGGCGGAGCCGTGGAGGCAGGTTCAGGAGTATAGTTTTCTCTCTCTATATTCAGAACCCAAATCTATACTGTGCATCTGTAGAATCTAAAAACTACGAAGGCTATGTTGGATCGCTAGATCTTCGGATGCGGAAGCGATATTGGGAGAAAGAAAAGTGTTGATGGATCAAATTTTCAAAATTGTACTCTTAATTTCGCGGCTCCACCTGGAAATCGGTATTGAAATCTTGACGTTTAGTTGTCGCGGGAAAATTTTGTGCTTATTTGCTATGCTAGTACCAACTTTTAAAATTTTTTAAAATTTTTATCAACCTTTTTGCATCTTTTCGATGCTTCCACCAAATTTTTATTTTTACACTCCCTCCATCCATTAGGTTTACGTGTTGCTATTACGGAGTTACTGATACAAAGGAGCCGCTTCAGTTTTAGTAACTATTTTCTGGTGATTGACTGGTCAATCACTCCTTTTCTTTTTTTTTTTTTTTATAACGATAACATTTGTATAACCTAATCTATCCTATTCTACAGGAAGGGGAGTCTAAGAAGGCTATTCTACTGGTCAATCACTCCTTTTCCACTTAGACAATGTGTGGTTCTTCAAAGTAAACTCAATAATTTTCTCACTTACGTGTTATCATATTTTGTTAATAACTCTAGGTGAATTTTTAGTTTATGATGGAAAAAAAAAGGAATTCTACAACGGGACGATTTTCGGAACTTGTTCTACAAAAGGGGTTTTCGCATTCCCCGAATGCGAGGTCAGTGAGACCGAGCTCCCAAGGCGCGCCAAGACCCCATTTTGAAAAAAAAAAAAGAAGAGAGAAAAGTGAGTCAAGCAGAACGCAATATCGAAATCTAGCTGTCGAACAGCAAAACAAAGAAAACAGAGCTGCCGAACATTTGAAAAACAAAGAAAACAGAGATGGGTTCTGCACATCGAAGCATCCAAAGACTTTTAAGCATCCAAAGACTGGTTCCGCGAGTGCCGACCCAAAATTTGCCAGCATTGACGTTGCCGTCCCATTGCGACTCTCAAACAGCATAAAGGTGAGCCTTTTCCACTTGCAATGCCTCACTTATAGCCTTTTAAGTTTAATTAATACTTGAATACTTGAATCCAAGGACAAATTCAGATTTGTTGTGAAATTTGGGTTTAAATTTGATGTGGATTGTGCTTATTTTTGCATTTTTTGTGGTGGATTTGAGGATATACGTTACATTTTTCGAATTCTTGCAATTTTCCTGTTTCCAATTTGTTGCAGTTTATTTGCAATTTCTGCAATTTGTGCAGAAAAAGCATGATCCGAGCTCGGATCCGACTCAACACAGACGGATCCGACCTCGGATCCTTTGAGGATAAAGGCGAAATTGGGTTATACGATCTCGGATCCATAGTTGTTCACTCAGATCCGAGGGCTCATCTGATAATCTGTTGAGACAGATCCGAACATGAATTGGATCCGATGGATGCCAGAAATAATCCGAGCTCGGATCATATGCTCTGTCTTTTCACTGACCTCAGTGGTTTTCTTTTTTTTTTTTTTTTGGATTTTGCTGTTCGAAAATTCAAGGAGACTTCGCATTAAACAAATGCGAACTCACGGAGCTCGCATTCACCCTTTAGACGGAATCCCATGCTCAAAATGCCCCATTTGTAGAATTCTTTTAAAATTCATCATAATTTTAGAAATTTCTCTGTCATAATTTTTTAAAAAATGTCTATTTTTTGTGTTGAAGAAGATAAAACCAAAAAAAAAAAGAAAAAAGGGGCAATTTCCATTAAAAATACAAAAAAAAAGGTTCTAATTAAGGGAATTAAACATGAGATGCAAATGAGAAACGAATTTCTGCTATCTGCTGCTATGGGTACATGTGGTACATTAGAGTTGTGTTCCTAGAGAAGATTTTAGAAAAATAAGGGTCTTGAACTAAAATGGAAAAATAAATTTTGCTAAAATTACAATATATGTTAGCAATTTCCAAAATTTGATGCCAAGCATTGAAGTTGTCTTGGATGCATTTCCGTTGCTTTAACAGTCTTAGCATGCCATTTAATTTTTTGTTATATACATTTAGACATGAGATGTCGTACTTTAACAAGTGTATATAAATATATTTGACAATTACTTATTTTTCACTAATGTAGTTATCAAAGCCATTTACAATAATTAGTACTTTAATACGCCCTGTATAATTTGAAATGATAATAATTACAATAATTAGTACTTTAATATGTCTTGTGTAATTTAAAATGATAATAATTAATCATTTCTGACTAGTTTAATGTACAAAATAATTCTCTAAAATGCTAAACACATAGTAGACAAAGTCTCTAATACTCAATGTGGGGGCAAGGGTTATGTACCAAATTTGGGTGGCAAGTGCCCACTTTTCAGTTTTTGTTTTTAAAATCTATTTCGCAGCTATTATTTTTGGTCGAAACACTATCTACATTGGACATTGTATGTTTTGCAATTGGAGTTTAGAAATTTTATTGACATTATGTAGTTTATAGATTGGAGCTTTTGAATTTCATGGATATTTGGATTGTTTGACAGGGAGTTTTAGCCCATTTATAGGGGAGACCCTGTCGAATTTTTTGTAGAGTTTTCTTTATGAGGGCAACTGACTATTACAAATACATGTCGCAACTTCTGTTTTTTTAAATGGTTTTTTGTTGTAAATTATTTCTTCATATAGGTACATACAAGGTTGGTGGCACAAGCTTGGGAGGTTTAGAGGCTGGCATTGGTACCTTTAAGATCCTGACCACAGAAGTTGGCTAGATTCGAATTTGATACAAGTCATTTGGTAATATTTTTTATATTACAACTTTTGGATTTTTGATGTCGAATTGAAATAGTATGTTTTGTTAAACTGCTGGATGTAGAAGTGGACGTTAGAACACGTTAACGAATTTATTGTAAGTCGAATCGATGGATTTAAAGTTAAATCTAATATTGTAGTCTGTATTTACAATATATGCATGTCGAGGTTAGGGAAATAACAGATAATGCTGTCAAGTGGCCTTTGGATTTATTTTAAGTCGAATTGATGGACTAAAAGTACTTTAATACGTCCTGTGCAATTTGAAATGACAGTAATTTGGATTGTTTGACAGGGAGTTTTAGCCCATTTATAGGGGAGACTATGTCAAAATTTTTGTAGATATTTCTTTGTGAGGCAACTGACTATTAGGTAATTTATTTTATATTACAACTACCATTTCTTTGTGAGGGCTACATTCGGATTTGATACAAGCCATTAGGTAATTTATTTTATATTACAACTATTGGATCTTTGCCGTCAAGTTGAAATAGTATAGTTTGTTAAATTTTGTTTCAGTAAAAAAAGGGCGTTAGAATATGAAATACGGATTTTTTTTAAGGCGAAGTAGAAGAATTCAAAGTCAATGACCAACTTTGTAGTATTTTTTGTAATTGGCAAAATCTATAATGGTAAAAAAGTGGCAAAATCTGCTACATGGAAAAACATTAATTTTGTAATATTCATTGCTAGCATATGACATCATTGTGAATATGGATCTTGTTATGCGGTGTGAATGTGGAGCCCAAATATATATAACTTCCCGTACATTTGTTATACGTGTACTTTGAAAATTATACGATCTTTCGACAATATGTAGTGTGCCAAACGTTATTACTACTTCATATAAACCCTGTTTGGATTGGTTGGCAGGGAGTTTTAGTGAAATTTGTGGATTGGTTGGCAGGAAAAAATTTTAGTCTATTTTTAGGGGAGACTCTGTCGAAATTTTCTAAAAATTTCGTTCGGAGTTTTAGGCTATTCCTATTGTCATTTATAGTATATTTCATACCTGTTTTCAATTTTTGAATAAACATTTGGATCGAAATTAGTCTATTTAATAGCTCCAATTTCGACCTAGAGTCCACTCTCTTTTATTTGTTTGGACCCTTGGACTACTAATTCTAATTTATTGTCCCCAAAATAGGGATTCATTTCACAGACATGTCTGTAGAAATGCCTCTGCGGGTAAACCTATACTGGGGAGGAGAAATACATTATGAGGATGATTTTGTTTATTATTTGCCTCGTACTTCCAACGGACATTCACTTTGAGGCATAGAATTGGATACGGGGAGTTGGTTGACAGGATTTACCACTATATTGGGGTCGATAAAGGGATGTTCAAGCTGAAATTGTTTCTTCGTCAACCGTTGGAGAGTTCCAAATATACTATTTCGTCAGTGGTGGATGATAAAACTCTTGATGTAATATACGATCTTTGGATCGAAAGAGTTTCATATATGGCGGAGATTTATATCGAGAAGGAAGAAATCGTCCAAATGCCT